GTTCAACCAAACATTAGTTTTTAGGAAAAGATGCCTATGCCAATTGAGTATGTCCCATGCTGTCGTTAATGTATATAATTGAGAAATATAACATGCCGGTTGTCGTAGATAATTTATTCATTCTTAGATTTTAGTGGAAAGTTTGTATATTATATGAGACATTACACACACACACACATATATACACATGTGTATATATATATGTGTGCGTGTCTATATATATATGTATGTGTGTGTGTGTGTGTGTATACAGAGAGAGAGAGAGAGAGGCATAATGCAATATGTAATTTTTTATGTTTCCATTAAATAGTGAGCATATGGTCAAAGCATTTCCAAAACCTCAAATGTAGCGAGATTGAGTTGGTAAAAACTTATTAGAGCATCACCAATTTCCTCCCTAAATCAGCCACTTTTTCTCTCCTTAAACTTAAGGAGGGATAAAATGGCTTTTAAGAATACTCTATTGTTTCTCTCTCAACGACATTTAAATTCAGTATGATTCTAATTGGGTTGGGGTCTAGGAGGTGATATGTAAAAAACCTTACCCTGTTAAGTTCTTCAAGCTCACCTTCAAATGCATTACTTCAACACCCGTTTACCCATGTTTGGTTGAATTCCTTTCCCATTCATTTTAACACAAACAATGAAATCTTTAATCTTTATTACTCCCTCCGTCCCATATCTTTCTTCCCAGAGCACTATTCCAACTTCACGGGAATTTATATTTCATTTGCGTTTTTTCATGACCTATATGATAAAACAAAATATTCTTGTCACCACTTGTTTTATTAAGCTTTTGATGTAGTTTTTAAATATGTAAGTTTTATTTTTTATTTCTATACCAATATTTAAATAAAATAGATTGAAAAATTTTGGGGGTTTTCTTCATTTTGCGCAACGGGAAGAAAGATATGGGACGGAGCGTGTATATTATTAAAACTTGATGATTACTTTTTCTAATTGAGTAAATTTTTCGTGAGCCAATCTGTCAAATGATTTGACTTCAATTTCTCGACTCAAAGCAAATAATGAATTTGTTTGTAACAATTAGATACGGCACACAAAAATTTGGCGATGCTCAAACAATATGGTTTTATGAAATAAATGATATGATAACCTAGACTAGAAGTTGAGTGCTAACAAAGATTATGCTTGTCATCCTTGTTCTTGATGTTTCTATAAAATGTGCATGTGTGGATGCTCACACAGAGGATGGACATAGGTGGCGAAGGAATATGATAGGAACCCTTAAATTGTGCATAGAGTTATTATATATGTATGCATGTGTTTCTTGTGTAAATAAATATGTATGAAATATATGTTATGGCTGTTTGACTTTCAAAATTTTGGTAATCATTTATGGTTGTATGGTACCCCAAACAGTTGAATTTGTTGGTTTAAAGCTCCAATCCTAATGTTTTTCTTTTTAATAGTTGCTTAAGAATTCTTAAAGCTCAAGGATAATTGGAATGAAATCTAGGAAGGAGTTGAGACTTGAGGAAGTCTCATCAAGTTAACCTAACTTGCTAAAAGTTGAACTTCATTTCTAGTACTCCCGTATCATAACCACCACAATATGGTACATGGTTATGTTGAATCATATTCACTATAGATTATGATGCAAACTTTTGCTAGATTGGTTTAAATAGTGAGGATAAAGAAGGCTGTGCTATTTGTAGTAAAAATCATTAGATTGAGGATGGGTAATGCTCCCTACTTCAAGTTTTATGCGTGCAAGAGGTCTCAAGATTGCCCATCTTGTAGGAACAAATGACTTCCTTGAGGGATTACAGGAATTCATTGAATTCAGTGCCTCAAATGAACTCCTTTAGTAGATGAATAATGTGGGGAGAGTTGATTTGTCTATTAGATTATTTAGATTTTAGAGTGTAGGTGTATTTACAAAAATGGTGGTTGTAAATAGCACCACCTTAAGAAAATAACAGTTTTTGTTAATACCGAAAGGTGAATATCTTGAAATTTATTACGTATCTAACTTTGAATTAAAACTGAAAACAAATGATTTTATTTTCTTAAAAAAATACAAGTCTCTTGTGAGCATGTTATTATTATTATTGAATATTGAAAATTTGAAACTCATAAGAAATGAGTGAAATTCATTATTCTTAAATTTGTATTTAGATCATGAATCAGACTCAATTGTATGTGAAATTATTGGTCAGTTGAAATTTGGCTTTAAATGTGTGAAATTAGTGAACAATAATTAACATTATTTGTTTAAATGCAGGTGGAGACTTCAACAGTTAACACTTATTGAGATGTATTTAAGAGTTCTGTTTTTTGAAAGGGAGCTAAGGCAAATTTTTACACTTTTTAAAAAACAATTAACCCACTATTTGCGGTTAATAAATCTATACCCCTTAGTGAAGATACAAAGATGACTTATTTTTGCAGTAGGAACAACAAATCCAGTGTAGTCCTACTAGTAGGGTTTAGGGTGGGTATGATGTATGCAGACCTTCCCTCCGCCCGTGAGAGGTGGAGATGGAATCAAAGTAGGTTAGCAAGAAAGTAAGGCAATTCAAAAAACAGAAAGCACACACCCGTATTACACCATAGTTGTAAACATCATAGGGTAATTTGAACATTTTTCCATTATGTAAATTGTAAAGGGATTATAGGTTAACTCAGTAGGGTAAACATTTTACTCTGTATGACTTTATAGATGAAAAAACTTCCTTTTTTCCTATACGGTCACAGAAGCTGTCCCTCTCTATTAACATGGTTCGCAAGTTTTAAACTACTGTCCTGCCGGGCAGTTTTGATACTTATGTTCAGAATTTATACTTGTATATGACCACTCAAATGAAGTCCTCATTTCACCCCCCCCCCCCCCCCAAAAAAAAGAATTAAAAGATAAAAAAATAAAAATAAATGATGCATGGAATCAATTTATTATGCTGAATGTTTCTGTTACCCTGTGCAGAAAGGATTGGACAGTGCAAGCTAGGGGTAGAGGTGTTGGAACATCTCCAGTTTCAAATGTTGGTGCTCTGTATTCCCCTCCATCAATGGCACATTCTCTTTGGGCATATAAGTGAGAGAACAGAAGAGGCTCTTTTAATTTTCACATTTACAAAAAAAGAATGATAGGGTGTTCTGGTTGGTTTGGGTGGGGTGGGGTGGGGGTGGGGGGGATACTGGTATGTGAGTATACATCCCCACTGTTGAGAGGAAAACAGCCTCTTTTGAAGAAGAGGTTAGAATACTGAAGCAATGTATCTTCCTTCTTTTCCTAACAAGGAAGTTTTACTTTAGCTTTAGCAGGTTGCTTGATTATTCTGACGAGCAAATCAGTTGGTATAAGAAGGTATCGTTCGTTTAAACAACATTCACTTTATTTTCTCCTCTCAAAATGCTTTCCATCCCGGGCGCATGTGGAATTCAATGCTGTTGTTCGCCATCCCGGTTAACCTTAAATCATGTGTTCACATTTCTCCTCCGCTTCCCTCTCAAATTTGCGCCATCATATCAATTTTTTTTATATTCACCTGTGCAAGAAATAGGTATGCCTTTGAATGCTCAAAATATGGTACGTGAAATGATGCTATTTGCAATTCCAGGTATTTTACTATCCTATGGGATTTGGAAAACCCCACCAAATTTGGCAAATCATGGTTGAAATATGTATCATAAAACAGTGTACTGGCTGTTCACCGAAGTTTAGGGTTAAACACTTGAATATAATTAGAACACTTAAATTAATTTCCTGTACTTTTTTCCTTAAATAGAAGTAAAATAAGAATGATGCGTTGGCACATTGACACAAGGGAGTTTTGGGGACAGTCATTGGCAATTCATTGTTATGGTTGACATTCAAATTTTCATTTAAATTTTAAAAGAATAAAATTCCTATTTGGGTACTTTGTGGATGTTATTCCATTACACTTCTAAAACCATACAGTTAATCTACACCATAAATAAACACTTTTATTCCATCATTTACCTCTTTACAACAACCAAAGAAAATGTCGAGTTGGCATTCGCCACCCAAAACAACCACATCCATGAACAATAAATGTGTATTTTTTTGCTGCGTTGGCCTAATAGCTTTAGCGTTGGAGTCCTTTCAATCTACTCTTTTATGATTTTATCCATTTCTCATCTAACACCAAGTTCAAAACTCGAGCACTAAGACTTCTTGCTCGAGAAAATGTCCTTAGATAGAAAGGTCTGGAGAGTTAGGACTAGGGTACTCAGATAGTTGCTATGAACTTAGTAGTAGTTTTTTCACTTGTGTGCGTTGTTTGTCGTGTAGGTTTGGGCTCTGTGTTTGATGTGCTTTTGTTTTGTGTAATTAGTTTGTTGTAGGCCTCTATGTGCTTTTTGCTATCTTTGTTATATGTCTCCTGTGATCTCATTTTATATTTACTCTTTGCGACGTGAGTCACTCGTAAACAGTCTTTCTATTCTTGAATAGGTCCAAGGTCTGCATACACACACCCTTCCCACACCCTACTTTTGTCGGATCAAACTGAGTTGTTATCTCTAGTCTTCATATTCTAGTATTCGAATTTAATCCCAATTCGTTTGGCATTGTGGTGGATTTCTAAAAAAAACGTAAGTCTTAGGCTTGTTTTTTAGGGTTGAAATGTCAGAATTAAATACTGGAAGAAACTGGAAAATGTTGAAAGAATTAAAGTGTTCAAAAGTCACTAAATTAAATTATCAACTAAATAAATATTTAAGAAAACTCTAATTTTATATAAAAAAAGAGAATTCATTCTTGTCTGTGTTTGACGTGACATATTATAAATTTAGATAGATAATGTTATTGTACATTAATCATCACCACGGTTTGTGTGTCATTGGTGCCGAATGTCATAGGATGACCCAAGTCTCCTATGAGACTCCGTTGATAAAATTAATACTTTATGCCACGTTTGGTAACACTAGCCGTGCCACTGTCATTTTGGGGCACTACTCGTGCTCCGTTCGTAAAATTGACGGTTCCTACCCCCCTAACCCACTCCCTAAACCCCACACCCAACCCCACCGCTTAAACAATTCAATCATTATATGATACTAAAGTCTTGTTTGGTGAAAACATAAACAAGTTTGAATTTGATACTCACAACATCGATAGGGCACTGCTGCCGAAGAAGGACCTGACCAGATTCGTGAGATGGCCTCAAATTGTCCAAATCCAGAGGAAGAGACGAGTTCTCAAGCAGCGATTGAAGGTCCCACCTGCTACTAATCAGTTCTCCAAAAAGCCTGTGGTTTTCAAGTTTGGTCTTTTAAGCAAGTCACTTATCTAATTAAGCACGTTCATCGTTTGAAGCCTGAGCCTTTAAACTAGGGCTTCAAAGAAACGAAAATCGATCATTAAATTAAAAAAATTAAATTCAATAAAAAAATTCTAAATTTTTAAAAAAATCACTAAAAAAACTAAAGCATATATTATATTTAACATTGATCTCTTTTTGTCTTTTCTCAGAATACATAATAATGTTAAACACCGATTTGACGCGAATGGCGTTACGCCCATTTCCACTGCACTAAGACATATTTTGCCTTTTATTGGGGGGGGGGTGCATTTTAGAAGGGAGATCCAAAGAGTAATATTAGGCCTTTTGGGAACACGTTCTCCATGGAGTGAACACGTTCTGACGACCCGAGGTTAATGATAAAATTGTAATTTTATTTTAATAAATAATCTCTTCGACATGCCCTCTTAATTCTTTCCAACTTTATAAACCATTTTTAGTTTTCCTCAAAGAAAAAAAACCATTTTTAGTTAAACTCTTACTCTACTTTCCTACCTATTGCTTTCCCTCAGGGAATAAAAAATTATGTAGCAATGAAGGACCGACAACTTTAAAAATAATCTAAGAGCATCTTTAGTGACGAAAATGTTTGATGGGTACTTAGAGCTAAGGTACGATTATTTCAGTAAGTAATTCTTCTTAAAATGAAGTAACTAATGATCAACTGTACACCCAACATCAGCTCTAAATCACTTTTTAATTATTTAAAATAATGGCAACTCACCTTTGTTGATCAATTCTTAAACATAAAATATAAATCAAGGATTTAATTATGTGTACCTGATAATCCTGTAAACGTAGTTAGAGAGGAGAGCATGATTCTCACGCAGATCAAGTTCCCGTTTAGAGTGTATCATTATGATGGCTAAGGTGAGGATGAGACTCACGAGAATAGAGAGACACAGAGAAAGCGTAAGATTGATGTCTTCTGATCTCTGCCTAATGACCTCTATTTATATACAAACCCAAGGGGAAACCCTAATTAGGTGGTAAGGGTAATTGCGTCCATCGAAAAATTACCAATTAAATATGTAGGGTATTTATTAGGTCAATGATCAATTAATTAAACAAATAATAACTCGGCCACATAATAAAATTATGTCCTACAACCTTTTCATACATCAAAGTTGCTCTAAAGCAATCCGAAGGTGGATGCCAATCATTCCGGACCAAATCCATCATAATTTATACCACATGGTTTTAGAGAGCGCTGGTTATGTTCCTCTATGTCATGTCTCTCAAACTAAAGTTTGAAAAAAAATGACACTAGTAGGGATGAAATCCGATGGTGAAATCGGATAATTTGCATTTCGAAGTGCTATTGCAGCAAGCGCAATGCAAGGAAAATCTTTAAGAGAAGAGAAACCGCCACAAATGCCTCCCGAGCACTACACATGAAAGTAAGAAGCATTGAGCTTAGTTAGAAGTCACATTCTTGCCTTGTTTCCTCACAAGTGAGATTCTAAAGAGGCCGAACTTCTTCTTCTTCTTTCTCCTTGGTGTACCGAGTTTACGAGCATTCTCTTTCTCCTCTCCCAAACTGAACACACTGCTCGACTTGCAGAGCAGATGGGAAAGTGATGCTCTCTGCTTCCCATTGCTCTTCTTCGCCGTGCACATTTGATTCTCATAGTCTTCATTGGAAAGCAGTTTTCGGCTCAAGATTTGCCCAATTGATAAGGTTGACTTGAAAGCCTTAAAAGGTGAGTCGTCTTCATTGACAAGAGTGGAGTTCTTGAACTTTGTTGAGTTTTGCACAGAGGATTTTCTTTGACCGTGACCAGATCTCCATCTACGCATAGCTTCCTCCATTTCCAGCTTATCACGGTTGGCAGATTCGAGTCTGCTGAGTGCCTTTTCTAGGGCTTCCTTTCGCAATTTCATTTCATTTGTGGCTTTCTCAACCTTATTTAAAATTTCTGTTTTCAACACATTGGTGGCCTCGTCAACTAAAAGTTCTGCCCCAACAACTCTCCTCTTACATGTTTCCTCTGCTTCTCGCGCTCTTGATGCCAACACAGAGTATTCCTCCAAGGTAAGGGTTACTATCCCTTCTTCTGGGTTCCTCTCACTTTTGTTTAGGGCATTGATATCGGCGAGAGCAGCTGCCTCAGTGGCTCTAGCAGCTTCTTTGATCTTTCTAGCAGCAACCAATCTGCTTTCCACAGTCTTGATCTTGGCCTTTATCTGTTCAATCCCACACACAGCCCTTAGAGCCTCCGATTTTGCAGCATCTCGCGCCTTTTTAAGCTGTTCAGTCTCAGAACTCAGCTTCTGGAGATCCCACCATGTGACTTTGAAGGCATCATTCTCCTTGCCATATCGATTCAACTCTTGCTCCAGAGCGGAGGCTTTCATGGAATTTGAAACTACCCTTTTCTTGGTTTTCTCAACCAAGATCCTCTCCTTTTCTATTCTCTCCTTGTAGGATTCAACCGCGGCTCGAATGTCCACAAGGTCATGTGTTGTCCTGCCTAGGTTTAGTTTGGCTTGCTTCAACTCCATTAAGATGAGCCCGGGAGCTGATGACGGGCACATTGTCAAGCCATTTGACTTTTTCCCAGCCTCACGTACTACAGTGCGATCTTCATCTTCCTCGTGCTGCAGCTTCGCTTTTAGCTGCTCTTTGGTGGTCATGGTGCTTTCTAGTTCTTCTAAGATGGCATGGGTCTCCCTTTCCTTAGCAACAAAATCTCTCTCTAACTCGGCAGCTTCCATCTCCATTTTCGCCATGTCATTCGTGACCTTTTTTTATGCAGCCAAACACACAAATTACAAAGCAATGACAAGTGTGAGCTATATAGAAAAAAAAAACAAAACCCAGTATCATCACCTGCATTTACCGACTAAAACATCATGGAAAGTAAGAAGGGAAGTTTAATGTACCAATTTGGTTTAGTTCATTATTCACCCAAAACAAAAAAAAACACTAAAACATTGTTAAAATGACTTACATTCATAGAAAGCTTGAAGCAAAGGAAGAAGCATCCATATTGGATAGTGGCAAATATAAAATGAAAAGTGATTTTTTTTAAATAAGGGAAAGAAGTATCCACATTGAAGAATATTGAATAAATGAGGGATCTGAAAGAATGCAGTTTTTAAAAAACTAAGGGTATGTTTGGGAGATTTGTTTATGATTTGCTATATTTTTGGGTGAATTTAAAACATCAAGTATGTTTTTCCCCAAATTTAATGATTTTTCTCACTAATTTATCTTACTTATAAAATTACTCTTTTATAGATTATTGAAGAAAAAAATTCATCCTTGAACATTGTTTGAGGTAATACATTATAATTTGAGAGAGTGTCAAACAATATACTACGGAGTATAAAAAAAAGAAAGAATGAAAGAAAAGTAATAAAGCACCAGACAGACAAATGAATGTCCAAAAAGAGATACCTGGGAGTCACTGCCGTGGTGGGCGGCGGCGGGCCTCCAGAAACCGATGCCGCCGAACCGAGTGGCAGCCTCTCTAACGGACCCGAACGGAGATGAAGTGTCGATCTCCGCCCTAGAAATCCCCGTCTTCTTCCTCTCCTCATCTGAGTTCGGGTCGCCGGGGGTTCTAATTCCCGGACCCGAATCGAACCCGTCTTCGCGATGTTCTGCTCCTTTGGTCTCAGAAGCGGGCACGCCCATAACATCGCCATTCTGATTCAGCAGATCCATTTGAAGTAAATCCCAGAGAGGGTTAAGCAAAGGACGCCATTGGAGTGGAGACTGGAAACAGAACAGAATCAGTGGTGGGTACGAGGGGAGGAAGTAGAGTGGGCAGAAAGAAGCGTACCCCACCAAGTGAACAGTTTGTACGGTCGTGTCGTGTACTTCTTCGGATAGGTAGGTGGTGTCGGGTAGGGGATTGAAAATTTGAAAGAGGTGACTACTAGTCTCCCAAAACTTTTCTTTTCTTTTTCACAATTAACTTGGGGATGCAATTGAAGGAGGTGGAGCGTGCATTCGGGTCGGGGTGGGGTGAAGGGTTTACCGAGAGGGTTAAGGGGTAGGAACCGTCAATTTTACAAACGAGGCACCGGAACTCCTCCGAGTCATCCGAACCAATGTCATGGGAACCAAGGGGTTATAACAATTGTGTTTTTTTTATTTAGTTTTTTATTATTAAATATTATCACAATGATTCTTTTTTATTAGTATCTTTTCATAAATAATATTTTTTCTATTCTGTCATATTGATGTTAATTTAAATGCTAAAAATGTAATTTCATAATAATAATAGCGCGAAGTCCCTAGATAGTAATAAAAAACTATGAAAATATCAAAATAAAAGTCATAAGACTTTTAAAACTAAAATAGGAGTTCACACAGTCATTATTACACTGCAACATTCACAACATTGTAGGGAAAAGTACCGTCATAACACTAATATATGCTTAAAATACCCAATATCGCACTGCTATGGGATTTTGGAACTCGTGCGGATGCAATTCTAAACTTGTCCTTGCATTCCACATTGCCAAAAAATGTGTTTAAGTTGTAATACACTTCCAGAACATGAACTTAACACACTGCCTTTATACCCAATATAACATGTACTCACACTACCAAAGCATGATCATTTTATACTGCCAAAAAATATGTGTAAGTTGGTACATAGTTCTAGAATACGAGCATAACACACTGCCGAGAAGTGTAATTAAGTATTATGAACCATAACACACTGCCCAAAATATGGGCATAACACACTTCCAGAAGGTGTAGACATAACATGATCATTCCACACTGCCAAAAAAGGGTAAGATTGGAAAAGATCTATGTCATTAATAGCCAAATGTGTGGAAAACAATAAGGAGTGCTATATATATGTGTAATATTGGGTGTCTTAGAGTGCTACATAGGGTGATTTCTAAACATTGTAACTGCACATTACCACCGTCACACTGCCATCCTTCTTCGTCGGCCACCACAGCGCCATCGTAGATCGCCGATGATTGACTGATCACATTGACATTGTTAGAATATAAATAACTGTTCCTGGACCACAACCACAAACTTGAGCTTGTGGTTGGATTTGTTCTTTATCATGGTATCAGAGCAGGTTTTGGCCCACTTCGTTTGTCAAGGTGTCCGTCTAGACGTTCATTCCTAGCGGCCCGTTTATCTTTAGCCCAGTTGTCCGTATGAAGTGTGTACCCAACGGCCTGTGGCCTGTTTAACACGATTGCTCGTCTGTAAGTCCATACCCAGCGGCTCGTGGTGTTTAGGTGTTGGCGCTAAAAAAAGTCAAGGGATTGGGAGTTCATTTGCAAGTGGTCAACCGGTTAGATATATTCAAAATGGCCCGGTTGTCCACTTGAGGGGGAGTGTTAGAGTTTATCCCACATCGGAAGTTGAATAGAAAAGTTATTGGTATATAAGGTCTTGAGTTGAACTAAGTAATCGATTGGATTCAATCTTTTAATGTGGTTCGACCTAAGTGTCTTATTAACCTAGTGTCTTATTAATTTGGGATGGGTATGGACAACTGGATTGGTTAATAAAGACACTTGGGTCGAACCACATTAAAAGATTGAATCCAATCGATTACTTAGTTCAACTAAAGACCTTATATACCAATAACTTTTCTATTCAATTTCCGATGTGGGATAAACTCTAACAGACATATTACACTTTCATCAATTTTCCATCACACTGCCAACATATACTCTTATCCCAAATTACCTATATTTTCATATTTTGATTTTAAAAGACTTAGGACTCTTATTTTGATATTTTCATACTTTTTACTCATATCCAGGGAGATTTCTTATGATCATATATATTTCTTGTCATACACAATTCATAAGGCCGCATCTTGATGCATCGTTTGTGAATTGCAGTGGCTTTCTACTATATCCATAGTATACAGATGTGGTTTTTTGTCGAAATGCTAGTCCATAATAATAATCATTATTGTTGAGTTGTCGGTGTGATCGATATTAGAATACGTCAATGGACATAAGATAGATGTCAAATTACACTTTTAGCCTTCAAATTAACACCAACATGACAGAAGGTCAAAACGACTATTTATGAAAAATATACATAAAAGAATGATCAAAGGAATAATATTTAATAATAGAAGACTAAATAAAGAAAACCCCTTGTTATAAAGGATAAAATATGGGATTAACTCTTTTTTATTTATGGGATTAGTTCTGATATGATTCGATTGAAGATCTGATCAATTGATTTTTTTATAGTTATATTTATATTTGTTTTTAATCGATTATAATAAAAATAAGTAAAAAGAACAAGGTCATGTTCTTCTGTGTTGGAATTTCAAAATTAGATATTGAAAGAAACAAGAAAGAGTTAGAAAAAACTGGAGGGAGTTGGAAAAATTAAAGTGTAAAAAAGTCACTTAAAAAATGATCACCCAAATAAATGTATAAAAAAAATTCTAAGTTTGGATAAAAAAGAATTTATCTTTGTCCGAGTTTGAAGTAGTATGTTATAAGTTTGGATATATAATATTATTGTACTAACATCATTTATAAAAACCTTTTTAATTTGTTGTTAGAAGAAATTAGAAGGTATTGGAAGGAACTGCAAGCTAGAAGTTAGAAGAAACTAAAAAAAGGTTGGAAAACAAAATTGGAAGTCATTTTTCCATCCCAAAAGTAAGTTGAATAGAGCAAGCTCTCGGAGAAGAAGTAACATGCTTTTGCTTCCTTAACTTTACTGCTGTAAAAAAAACCAATTCTTGTTTCGGCCACATTCTCTTAACCTGATCTGAATGGCATTGGAATAAGCTATGATCTCAATGTAATTATATTTAAAACTATTTGTGATCTGATCTGGTCTGCTTTGATCTCATTCTAATAAAAAATGTTATAAGTAATAAGAATAAATGAAAAGAGAACTGGAAGAATAGTGTTATAAATTTGGATATATAATATTATTGTGTTTTCATCATATGTAAACACCTTTTTAATTCTTTGTTAGAAGAAATTAGAAGGCTTATGTTATAAATTTGGGCATATAATCCTATATCCTTATCTTTATATATAAAATTTGAAAGTTGAGCTTCTAGAATGACGACATTTGGCATGCTGATTCGACCTTTTATAAACACCTCAAGAGCCATGTCATCATTGAGTCATCATTGGCTTCTATGTATTTTTTATGCATTGCCTTTAAGGCTAAAATTTTTTTAGGGGTGACCTTTTTAATTTTTTGCGCAAGATCTGATTTTCTCTGTTTCTTCTTCTGTAAAATTGACCAGAAGAATTTATGATATTAATTATTATAAATGCATTATAATAAAAAAATGTTCTTAAATACTAATTGTTATATTTTTTGTTAAAAATTAAATACTATATTCTTAAATGATACACGCTCTATCTATAAAGAATACATAGAATTTGGAAACTACTCTGTATATAAGTTATTTATATTAAAAGGGAAACAAATGATAAAAAACATTCATGCACACCTCAAATTTTGAAATCTTTGAGGTTGATATTGTTTTCCAAATATTTCTACATTATTGAAAAAATCCACTCGCAACATGACTTCACCAAAAAAATAAACAACCGTAATATTAATGTAAACAAATAGCTGATATTTATTTGAAAGAGAAAAAAATCATATCCAAACACTATTTTCTTTAAAAATAAAATTGAATAATGTAAATTTGATATTTAAAAATCTTTTTGAAAATACAAATGTAAAATATGTATATTAAAATGCAACAAAAATATAAATCGAAAAATAATGTATTTTTTAAGATAACGCATACCTTATCTATATTAAAAGGGAAAAAACCAAATAACAATTTAACTTTGCCAAAAATTAAAAAAATAAATAAATTAATGTAAAAAATTAAAAAAATATTTGGTTGAAATTTATTTAAAAAAAGAAATGATACTCAAATTCTTTTGTTTAACAAAAAGGAAAATGGTAAGATTTTAAATTTATTTTTAAATTTATTTAAAATAATAATAATAATAAAAATAACTATAATAGTAATAATAATAGTAATACCTATAATAATAATAATCATCATCATCACCGTCGTCTTTAAATACAATACGAAGGATGTAAGAAGAAACTAAATTCTTTCTAGATTTTTTATAAAAGTAAAAAAAATTTAAAGTAGTTAGATTTTCTAGATTTTCAAATAAGTAAAATTTCTTCTAATTCCTTCTTACTTTCTATAATTTTAGAGACTAATCATCATGTTTGATTTCTTTTATTACTTGTTACCTTTTTAAAATTGATATCAAACATAGTATCAATCATTATTAATGTAATTACTATTTAAATTTAGTCTTAACAAATATAAAAGCTACTTATTTTGACATTTAAACCTCAACATTTATATATAAATACATGACACTCTTGCTTATTTTTTTGTCTAACCGTATATCTGCGACGGAACGTATATTTCCGTCGCAGATCTGCGACGGAACAAAGTGTGGTAAATATTTCGTTATATCTGCGACCGTATTTGCGACGGACGCATAGATAATTAATTAAAATCGGTTCACACATCTAGAGCCCCAACTTCGACCAACACATCTCCTTCGCGGCGACCGACACATCTCCTCCGTCGCACAGTTCGTTTACACCGCGGCGCTCGTCCTCCTCGCCTCGCCGTCGACCGCGCCGCCAGTGTCTCCCTCCTCGCCTCGCCTTCGACCACCAGTGTCTCCACCCCTCGCCGCCATTGTCTCCCTCCCTCCTCGCCGCCGCCGCCAGTGTCTCCACCCCTCGCCGTCTCCAGTGTCTCGACCGCCATCTTCCCCCACCGGACCCCCTCTTCCTCTCAAGGTATTTTTGTTA